GTAAGTATTTGATTGTGTGTTGTTGTGAAGTGAACAGTTTCTACTCGTCCTTCTCACATGTCCTGCCTCTCTCTCTCTGCCCCTTGCTCTCTCTCTCTCTCGCTCACGACTACCACAACTCTCCTCTCCTCTCCTCTTGTCAGAAATGTGTACCAGTTGTACAGTACCGTACTCGATGACATCATGCGTACAATATCGCCACGTGGTCATTTTCACTCTGTGGTTCAATTTTTGAAGAATTTCGAAATCAGTGTGTGAAGGAGTAGAAGACTGTTTGATGGTGTTTGTTGGAACGAGTGAGGAGTGAAGGGTTGTTGTTATTGTAACGAGTACGCAGAAGACATGCAGTTGTTCCTGACGTGGAGCAGGCGCTGTGGACGCCTTCCTCTCGTCGTGGATATTTTCGTTCGAGTAGAAATCTGTAAAACAAATTCAAATTTGTCGAGGCATGAACTGGAGTTTTTGCTGTGGATGCATGGAGTAGCAATGTTGCTGAGGAAGGAGAGACTTGTTCTGTACATGTAAGTCGTCTTGTGGAGAGATTGATTTCGTCTCGTTGTAGATTATGTGCTTGGTCTTCGTTGTATTTTCGTTTTTGTAAAATTGGAACGAATTTTTCAAAATTGAATTTCTATTGTTCCTGTGATGTGTTGCTGAGTTACTCAGAAAGAGAGAACAGCGTTGGACCTAGCCAGGGAACGCAATCACGAGGGATGTGTGCAGTTGCTGGTGGATCACGAGAGTGCGAAGGTATGTACTGTCGTGAATATGCATCACGAATCCGCGTTACGCTCATTATTATGTCTTTATTTGTTTATGTGTTACATCATGTTGACGTCATGCTGATGTCTTGCTGCACGCATCGCGTGCACCGTTTTGCAGCTCTCAGCCCGGAGCATGCGCAGCGAGCCTGTGGCTCCTTTTTTGCTGCCTTTTCCCTTTTGCATGCTTCACTTGTCTCTACTTGTCTCTACTTGTCTCAACCTTGTCTCAAATAAGGTTCTCTGGTGACACTCCTTTTCAAGTCACCTAGTCCTTTCAAGTAACAAGTGCAATGTCGTTCCGTGAACCGGAACCACTCCATATTTGAGTTACCAAGACGTATTTGTGCGTGGCTATACAAGCTCTCCCACTCAACAGTTCAAAGTTGCGCACATGTACAGTAGACTTGACTGTGAGTGACTGAATTTTAGGGTTCACGGCTTGCCACTAAAAGCACCCGTCACGTGCGCCTCCATTTTGGATTATGGACGCGCGCTACAGGCCGCGACAGCGCCTATCGAAGTAAAAAATATCAACTCTAAGTCTAGCCGGAGAGCGTACTTTTTGAATTTTTCCTTGGCTTCAGAGTTCAGTGGCTTCACTTCACTCGGGCTTTGCATTTTTGCGTTGGTTTTTCTGACTGACCTGGACTTGATGATGGCGGCGGTGGCGGTCTTGGCGAAAGATCCAGTTCCATCTGAGACACTCTGTCGTCTTTTCTTATCTGCTGAGGTTCTGGCAAAGCGCAGCTGCATCGAACCTGACTAGATGTAGCTGCACGCATCTTTGTTTTCCCTGCAAATCTCGATCTGTTGCTTTTCTTGCTGTTTGGCCGCTGATGCCAAGGAAGAAAATATTCTTCCTGTAAAGAGGCCGAAACTGAGCAAGGGCACATCAAGATATGTAGGGTATACAAAGAAAAAGAAATGTCATGGTCGTTTCAGCAGCTCACGACAGCCAACACGCTCCATCGTGTCGGGATTGGAAGTATCCAGCACGGCTGTTCCGAGCGCTGCTGCTCTTGTTATTATTATTCTTCAGAAATTCTGCACACCTTGTTGGCCAAAGTACGCGCGCGCGCGCGTGCACAGAAAATAGATGCGCTGAGCCGTTTCTTGTTTGATTTTGACAAATAATGGCTTGTTGTTTTGCTCTCGACCTTGGCTATCCTTTTACCGTTCAATATTTTGCGGAAACGCAACGGCTCCCCCTGTTTTTTTAGCCGAACTTTGGCCAAAGTTACTGGAAAACCCGGAACTCGTTTGAAAAAATACGAACGGTGGAAGTCTTGGAACGTCTTTCGTGCGTGTGGATTCAAAAATTCAGGCAGTTTGAGCCAACCGTAATGAATCCCGTAGAGTTGAAAGTGAGTGATATTGATGGGAAAATGCGATTTAAGCACTGACCGATTGTGTGGTACAGTATATGCACGCGCCTGTCACGTGCATGATGTAGCTGGCGACGCTAGCATGCCAATCCGTGAACCCTAAATTTAGATGTACTGTGTGTCTACAGTAAACATTACAGCGTGTCGTACATTTGATTGGTTGAACTATGCAGTGACTAGGTGTCACGTGAGTCACGTGAGGTGCACCTCCCACCATCATGTCCTACATTTGGACAGCTGTCCATGAGATCAAGAGTACATAAACACGAGAGAGTGTAACTCCGCTTGGTCTGGCCATGGCGGAATGTTTCATTTTGTTGACTTTTCTGGAGATGACGAGTCTTACCGTACGAGGCATGTACTACGAGTCTGTGGGCGCGTGAGCTTGTACAGTTTTCGTTAGGGGTTGTCGCAAAAGTTTTTTTGTCGTCTCTGAAACGAGAGCATCATTCGTTTTGGAGTGGGAGGGGGGGGGGGGGGGATGCGGGTGTGAGCCAAAATCACAACTCGACCGACACTGTACATTGTACTTGTACATGCATGTGATTATCGTCGTCCAGCATAGCAAGCTGCATTCGTTTCAGAGTGGGGGAGGGGTCCGAGTACGAAATAAAGATATTGCCTCCATGGTCCTAGCCAACCTGAGATTGAACGGGGGGGGGGGGGGGGGGGGGGGCTGGGAAAACTATTAGGGACCATTAGCAAGCCGTGAAACGTCAACAGGAACGAGTTCATCGGAACGCACGTGAAACACGACGTGATTGAGAATTAGCTTCTCGCGTTCACAACCCGTCTACGCGAGTCGGCTGCTTTCCAGTTTCAAACAGTTTTCTGATATTTTTACTGGCAATTATTTTTGCGAACTTTTTCTTGAGAACAATTCTCAGCCTGACTGACTTTTACCCGAATGAAAGTGAAAGAAACCCCATGACAGCCACATCGCCGATGGATGGGTGCAGCAAAGGGTTGTGTTCACGAGGTCCATGCCAAAACATAAATGAACGAGCAAGCTGAAGTTTGTCTTGAACAAGCATAAATGTTGGCACTGTGGTTACCCTCGATCCTGTTCTGTGTCATGTTAGTAACGGTTATGCCAAAATCAATGGTCCTACTGGTTGTTTGGTACGTTTCGCCATCGTATTTATTGCAACAAGAATTGGTGAGGCATTTTTCGAAATTTGAAGAAAATCGCAAAGACCAAACGAGGCGCGATTTACGGTGCTATTCTCCGCTTCATGGTTGAATTCGCACGTACTTGACTAAAACCCACTTGTTGCGGTCATGGCGAGTGGACCCCTCCGAACTCGTCAAACACGAGTATGTTTCGCGTGGTCAGGACGGGACTCTAACCCAGCTCCCCCTTCGCGTTGCAGTTTCACGGCTTGCTAATGGTCCCTATCACATAGCATTGGTGGGTTTACGGGGGGGGGGGGGGGGGGGGGCACGCTCCCACCCCCCTCAAAACATTTCGACCTGGGTTTGAAAAAACACCAGGCTGCTACATGCACCATGTGCACAGGCGGTAGACTCTACGCGGTGGGAAGCAGCGTCCAAAACCGGTTGCACAGACCGTCGGTGTGTGAGCGGCATTGATTGCACTGCGAAAGAAATGATCGACTCTGTACGAGCTCTATACTTTTGTACAGATTCCAGGACACGCTCGATGCGTCTTGAGAAAGGCGTGCAGTGATGTGCTGAACGCAGCACTGCCCAAGTGGGACAAAAACAAAGCTTGTGATCGTCAAGCGCCTCTTTTCGCAACGTTGTACAACGATGTTTGGAGGATGATCCCCTCCAGATTCGAATCGCGAATTGGTTGACTTGAAGACTTTTCTGCGAAGTCTCAGCGACATCCATGGACCAAAGAAGACAAGCTCTGGCCAGCAGAGCCTTGATGGATTTTTACAAAGCGTTCTTGCGACGGCGCAATTCCTGTTCCAACAGGAAACAGCGGGAGTGATCAAGTCGTTGCCAGTCCAGTTCGGAGCAGACTGACTTTCCGCCCCACGCGGAGGTGCCAGTACCTGTTGTCAGTGCGCAGCCAAAACATGATGAAGAACAGCATGATATGCTCCAATAAAAATTGGGCAAGGATGTACTGTACAAGTAACATGACTGATGATTGTACAGTGTACAGTAGGTATCGGTTATAGCGTGGGTGTTTGAAAAACGACTTTCTATTCTTATTTGCAATATTTCTTACTCGCGATAAGTCAAGTGTGACATATCAGATACATGTGCGCAGATACAGGATGGTCATCATACATACAACGTATCTCTGCTGTGCATGCGGGTGTTCATAGTCTCATACGCTTGCCATGTGGCTATGCAGCATGAGATACATGACAAGAACAGTTGAACCTGGAGCACTACAATGCAATGCGAGTCGGAGCAGAACTGCATTGGACAGATGTTATTACTACACTCATCTCCAGGCGATACACTTTGTACCAATCTGGTATGTTTTGCTACACAAAGTCCATTCTTAGGACCGATATAATTATTCTACAATGCGATAACATTGCTTGTACTTCCTCCGCGTCATTAAAATTGTCACTGCGCACATCGCAATGTTTGTGACTTGGCTCGTCTTCCTTAGACTGTCGGAATCGCTGTTTTCTGTGTTCGAGCATTGGTGCGACCCTTCCTGCGCAATGTCTACTTGTTACTGAAGCCGTGGTGGTCTCGGACTTTGTCGGAGCTCTTTTCCGCACCAAGCAAATTCATCGCGCTCCGCACTCTTCCGCCCCAGAGTGCATATCGTTTTTCTGGAGTTCGTGCCGTCCCATATCGTTCGCGTGGGTATTGATCAAGACTGCAAGCTCGGGTATAAGAATCCTGGTATCTCTCC